CTGACACATATCAAACATTATGATAATACTAACATTACATTACTTCAACATTGCCAACAAAGAAGAAAAGAAATTTCTTTCTACTGCTTTCGAACTAGACAGATTATTATGAAATGTTTTCACACACTCCAACGTTATTACAAACGACGAAACCATTCACACTTTCTTTTTCCTTTTATGTGAATATTTTCAATTTTATATGATCACATAACTATAGCTGTAACATTTTAATTAAGTTATGTCTATAACAATATGACTAACTTGCTAAGAATACTCGTAGAATATCACTTACAGTTCAATAAACAAGTTCCAGTCACTAGACTATTGGAAATCCAATAAACATTCTAAGCAAATAATTAATAGACAAATATTTCGGAAACAACTACACCATCCACGACTTACTAATCAGAATTTCAATAATTACTCTTGAGAAGTCGACAGAATACAATTCGTCGGCTGAACAAGAAGTGCTTCTCAAGCGAACTCTGTTACTCTGGACTAAGCTTAATTGCTGGTTCAGATAACGAATAATGGTTTTCTAGTTTTGTAGTTAAATACTGTTTTTGCTCGTTCGTGACCTTTCACTGAGCTGTTGGATTTAAGGCTAAATAGGATTGTTGTAAATCGACTTCATGGGCTAATTTATTTTAATTGGAAATGGCGCAATCGTGAACCTAATTCGCTTAACATCTTCAGTATTAAGAAATCATACTCCTATTCTAAGGAAATATTGAATTATCTATCTCAAAACCCATTAATTTTTTCTTTTTGGAAATAAAAATAAAATACCTACTTAGGAAAAGTTAAAAATTATTGGATTTGAGGTTTCCAAATAAATATTACATCGGTATATTAATATTAGTTATGCTCTATTTCTACGATACATATACAATTTAATACAAATAAATACCTATACGCATGAAAATAATTATTTCCAATATTACATAATTAATTATTCAATATTATATACAATGTCTTGACTGTTCGAGAGACTTTTACAGTCTTCTTTGGTTGTTAGGCGAGATTCTAATTAGAAACAAATTATAACTTCTAAACCCGTCAAGTTGAAGGTCCACGTGGAGTGAAAATATGGGCATATTACACCAGCAGTTACTGTTAGAGCAAGTTCTACTGAAACATAACACAAGCGGCATGCAATGAATAAGCCAGTGTGGGGTCGTGTTATGCGAGCGGGTGCGGTGAAATTCAGTATAACGTTAGCTCAACTTGAATCGGTAAACTATGCTCTTAGCCATTGTAATTCGGACTTTGTAATGCTATTCGCTTTGGTCAAAATCAAACTATTGGCATTGCAGCTCAGCCTTAAGGCCGGGTAGCAGAGAAAATGGCGAAACTGAGGTTTTCATTTTTCATTTTTGAGGTACTAAACAGTAAAATTTAAAGGCTTAGATTTTTATTGGGCATAGTTGAGGATATTTTCTAGGGCTATTAACGGATGGAAACACGATTTGATGAAGTTGGGTCGATAGAATAAATTCCCAAAGTTACCTCTATTCGTTTTCTATTTATGGTTTTATTTTTAAAATAAGCGATTTGAGATTCTAAATCTTTTACTAAACTAAAGTTCAGAAATAACTTGAGGGTTTTTAACGGATGAAATTTTTATATTGCGTCTTATTTAGTTACTATGTTAAAAAATGTGGAAAAAATCACCCATGACGGCTTGGACAATCTCAATCAGTCGCGCGGTGGCGCTTACGGAGGTCGGACGCGTGTCAGTTTTATGCACGTGACAGTTCGCAATTTGTCAATATTTTTGACAATGATGACTTTGATGAGTCACAGTATAATAATATCAGTGTTACTGGAGAAAGCTAAAATTTTTGATAATTAAGAATTATCAATTTTGTCTACCTATTGAAATTTAAATTGAAATATTACGTCTAAATAATATTGTTCGTCTACGCACAGGTTTAGGAGACACTTTCCCAACGAACGCACTGTTCCTTGTCCAATTCCAGATAGCACCAAATCATCTTTCTCACATTTGGGCTTTCCCAACTCGATGTAAACGTCCTCTGATATGATATTCACGTCGCTGCCGGAGTCAACTAACGCTTTTTGCTGTATTTCATTCATTGTCAACACAATAACCGGCTTTTTCTCCTCCGTTTTGTTGATCTGAGAGGTTGACAATGTTGACATCTCGTCGTAAACAAATGTCGCCATCTTTGGTTCGTCGTCGTTCGTACTGGAGCCGCTAGGGGCGCTGCCTTCTATGGAGTTTGACGTAGTGAACATCGTCCGCTTCTTGTCATGATGTTGGTAGTCTTGTAGCTCGTTCCATAGCTCACCGCTGGAGGCGCCGCAGTCTCGAGTGATGTCAGCCACGAACATAGCGCTCTTCTTTTGTCTGTGGTCGTCTTGCCGAGTTTTACCGAACTCCTCCGAAGTCTTCCGATTCGCCGTCGCAGTCGAAGTGCAAGCCGATCCAACATGGCCGAATTGGTTGCACTTAAAGCACTTCATACCTTTGCTTTTATGCGGGCAATCAGTTGATGCATGTCCAGTCTCTCCACAGNTATCTGTTAATTATTGTAAGGAGTAATCTCGGGATCTACTGAACCGATTTTAAAAAATCTTTCACCAATAAAAAGTCACATTATATCTGAGTGTAATAGGTTATATAAAAACCGAAAAATTCAACGCGGGCGAAGCGGCGGGCGGAAAGCTAGTTTATTTATAATTATGTAAGAGCATAATTATTACAGCCGAAGTCAAACATTCTTTATTTGTGTGGTCCTATATTAACGAGAGATTACAAGGCGTCAAATATTTCAAGAAAAAAATTAAAAACTATTATAAAGCTAAATTTTGCTCTCATGGAGCCTTTACTTTGACAAATCAAGACTTAAAGAAGAAACTAATAATAAAACTATTTAACTGTCCTGCAATGAAAAGCTTTAATCGGATACAACACCTCAAGTTATTTTAGAACTTGATTTCATTAAAAGACTCCGAATATCAAATCGCTTAGGTATCTAAAGTCAAAGGATTCTGAAATGTCAAGTGGCATAAAGTTGGGACTAATAAATAACCCATTAAGATAGTAGCGCCCTCCTGTCAATGACATACCTGGAACGATAGAGTATTGGACAACTAATAAAAATGCTTTATCCTAAATGACTGACGGATATCGTATAGACGTGAAAGTTGGAAGGTATGTTCTTTGTATGACGTAGGCATCCAATTTTCCGAAATGGGGTCATGAAATGAAGGGGGTGAAAAAAGGGGGCAAAATTTGTATGGGACCAAGTGATTCTTTGGTTCAATCTACTTGAAATTTTGCTTAACAATTCCTTAACTTTATAATTCATGACAAACGTGTAAAAAGGGTAGAAAGTTATTTTGGGAGTCATTTGCTTCGAAGTTGATATCAATACTAGATACTTACTGCTTTTGATTTGACAAGTGTTTGAAAACTCCATGTCAGATTACAATCAATGTCAAGTGAAATCTCAAAATGAAATGTCACAATCTCAATGAGGAGGCTCTGCATTTATTCCTAGAATTCTAACACCGTCAAATTACCCTTTCGAATTCAAGACAGTGCAGTTTCCCATCAAAATCTGCTTCGTAATGACTATAAACAAAGATCAAAGTCAAACTCTAGCGACCTCTGCATAAACTCCCATGAGTGCTCAGAGCGGTTGCCTGCGGCAGGTAACCGCGTGTGATGCTCATAGTGATTTTTGATACAGAGCTCCGTACATACGTTATACATAAACTATGGAAAGAAAACTCCCAGACTAATACAAACAAATATGTATGCAATTTTAGTATGATATTTTTATTTGTTAATAAACAAAAAAACTAAACAAAATTGATGCGTGTAATGATTAATGTAGTTAATTAACCACGTGCAAAGTTTCGTGAATTGCAACAACTATAATTTATTATCCAAGCTCTAAATAATCGCTACTACGAGTAACTGATCATAAAATGTTTTTCCAATCGCTCAAGCTCCCGAGGACCTACCGATAGGTCGGGTGACGTAATCTTGAAATTATTTTGGCTGGCGCGGAACTTCCGGATGGTCGGGTGACGCCACGCCTCTTTGAACCGTGTTTACTTTGGCAGTTATATTTTATATTTATATGATTCTAAAATATATTCCCAAAAATTCTGAAAGTTGTTTTAATTTGTATCACTTGGATATGATTTGTATTAGAAAGTGCTGTGAGTGTGACGCTTGAACGGAAGAAAGTCAACCTAACCTAACCAACTGCGTATTTTTATACTGTGTAGCCGCGAGAGCTCTTTGGCGCGCTGTCTTCGGCGAAGTAATGCGCGCGCAGATTTTGACAGCGCGAAATACCTACTTTAGCAGAAGTAGGTATTTCTGCTAGTCTTAAATAGCTATAAAGCTAATCGACCGATAAAGACTGTAAAAATTGAAAAAAAATGTAAGAATGTTATGAAATTGAAAAAATGATTTACTTGTGATTAAGTTCCATTTTTTCATACAAAAATAATTACGTTTAAATTGATAAGGAAATACAAACATTGCCAGAAGTGGTGTAGAAGTAACATTAAGATGTTTTAGGATGTCTTTGCTTGCAGCATGAAACAATAAAAATACATCATTGTTACATTTTCATAAAATATGTTGAACCGCCGTCTAAGCTAGAACAAGCTTAGAACTCTGTTTACAATCTTTTATTCAGCTTTATGTCCCGGTGTCTTTCTGTATCATAAAATTTTAGACGCTTCCCAGAGTTTAAATAAAATGTTGTATACGCAGGTTACCTTTTCCTGAATAGCAATATACAATTAATTTTTGTGCAGAGCTCATGATGCAGATGGTTGCTAAAGTATCGTTCGTACCTATTAAATTATAATGTAGTCTAGCGTTACTTTTCTGTCTTACCTGGTTCTGGATGCTTAATTAGGCCTGGTTACTGGTTACAGCTACTTTACGAGTATTGCCAAATTATGGGTATGTATGCACATGCTATAATTGTTTTTTTTGTCCACAGGCGCACTCACAACACGTGCTGCACAGAGTGGACGGCAAGACGCCGGGCGGACTCATGACCGCCTACAGCACCATCCAGTTCATAGTCCAGAAACACCACTTCATTCGGGGGAAAATTAAGGTAAGGAATCTATAGGAACAGATTAGTAAAATAATATGCATAAATTGTTGAACTGTCACACTAGTCGCCACTAGTTACCTATTCCTAACGTGAGGATTGATCGAATCTTTTTTCTTCACACTCTTGACTGAGTGGTCATCATTGGTACTGATTTTTTTATGGGTGGATGTTGCTTGCCTTACGATTGACCTTTTGCTGTTGGTGGTAACTCAGTGCACTTCTACACGGGATCGCCTACAGCATGGTCTGTCTATAGCATTGATAACAAATAAAGTTACTCACATTAAAGAAAAAAGTTTTTACAAACGTCTGGGCCAAGCGGCTGCCAATTTGTTTTTTTTTTTTCTTCTTTTAATAAATATTTATTTTCACACAGATACGGTGCACGGCGAACATGTACACCATATACCTTCAGAGCCTCGAGAAGAGCGCGGAAGAAGAGAGGGTGCCCACCACGCCCACCAGCCCGCCCGAAGTGCACGAGGCCATCGTCTACTCCATACACCGCCTGCCCGAGAGCAGTGAGTACTTTTGAACTAGTGTATAATATATACCCGGTTTCTGAATTGAGATTTTTGGTTTGAGCGTGCTCAACTTCTAATCAAGTATGAACTTTTTATATGCAACTAGCGGCCGCCCGCGACTTCGAGCGCGTGGATCCCGTTTCACCTCCTTAGGAATTGAATTTCGTAAAATCCCGTCTTAGTGAGCACCGTTGAGAATACGTTCTAAAAGGAACCCCCATGCAAAATTTGAGATTTCCTGGCACTTGTAGTTTCTGAGATTTCGTGATGAGTGAGTCAGTCTTCCTAGAAGATGAACACGCTCAAGTTGTTATTATAAGCCGCAGACTCTTCTCTGATAGCTTTTAGAGCGGAAAGGTTATCACGTGGTGACCAAGCACCGAAAGACACTTGGTAATGCAGCGGACAGCAGACATCCCACTCGATGGAACTATCTTCTTCTTGTCGTGTCGACAACAAATCTACACAGAGTCAGCCCAAAACTCTGCTACAAGAGTGGCGTGGTGATGAAACTGACTGCATCCCACTTAACATCAGGTGCGATTGTGGTCAAATAACTGCCTTGTTATGCATTAAAAAAACTATGGTCTGGTGAAGGTCGCAAAGTATGAAGAGAGAGAGTTATGAAAATCTTTGGGGAGGTGTCTGAAAAGTAGTCTCTATGTCGAGATTTAAATAATGAAATAATAAAATAAGTTAGTGTTCAGATTAAACAGATTTATTGATGACCACCTCATATTAAATTACCAATTCTCTCTGAAATAAAAAAAAGAAACTCAGAAACTTTTCATTAGTTTTCCGAGATCGTTAAATATGTATTAGGTACTACGCTCTACAATCCCTAACGAGCACAAAGATGTCACTGGAGAATAATAAAGAGATTTGATCTTTTAAAGTTACAATGCTTACATTTTTTGTACTATTAAAGTGACTTTTTACCTGTCTGTTCCGACAAACTGACAGTCTAATTAGACGTTTTTACAAGCATTATTTCATCTACCCACCTCACGGCATCTTATTTGTCATTTCCCTGTATTTAACAACCTGGGTATAGTACGGGTCTAAGAGGTTTTAGTATGACTTTGTGTCTCTTTTGAGGTAGGTATATAAGCACCACAAAATAAAGTTACAGAACCTTTGAATTTACCTTTGAATTACATGACAATAGCATCACTTTAAGATGCTCTATGCGTGAGCAGCTCTGATATAAAACCAAACAAGTCCTATAAAGTCAAAATTTAACAACATACTCTTGTTTGTTAAAGGAAATATTGAGCTTCTTGTTTTTACTGCCAAAAACTTTCCCGCGGAACAAAGCTTATTTTATTTCGTCAAAAACAATTAAGTACCTTATCTTGGGAACTTCTGTATCCAGTACGTATTATTTTTCACTCTTTTCGTTCAAAGTACTGACATAAAAAGTGTTTTATGTCTTGAGATGGAACAAAAACTGAACTGTATTGTACCCAGTTGCCTTTTTGTATTCAGCCCCTACTATAATAATTTACATTTTGCGGTTAAGATTACAAGTTGAAAAGAGCTTCGAGCAATGCTCAAGATTTTTATAAGTAATAATATTTATTAATTTCACCTGTTATGAATATTAAACTTTATGAATATCCGGGAAATGTCATACTGTTATAAATGGACAGACCTTTTTTTTCTTTATCCCTGTTTATGATATTTCACAAGTTGTAATTTTAATTGTATTAAATTAAATCTATTGTATTAAATCCTAAATCACATGACCACATGATAATAGTTGCTTGTAGATATATTATTTTTAGCAAAAGCTCATATGTACTGGTTAGGCAGATGAAATTTGACACTATTTGAAAGCCAACTGACCTAAAAAAGAATTTTATGTTGTGAAAAGAGCAGGCCATTTATCCCCAATATCAATTCCACAAAAGGAATATTTTTGATTCTCGATTCAAAAATATATTTCGGTTTCATTGCTTTTAGCCCAATCCCATAATAGTGTTACCTAATTTGTCAACCTTATCTAATCTCATTAAATAGACATAGTTACCTAAACTAGTGCTACTTTACGTTGGTATTCAATATTTTAAGTGCCAATTAGCAAAACAAAAGACGATCCTTGGGTTGAGATCCGTCCACAATGCGGATTTTCGTTAATTAATCATCGACACACCATTAACATTTCACAATAGACTTCATCGCTTAGACTGTCGACCGTAAATTACGCCTTGTTTTAAAACTAGTCATGCCTGGGTCCGCAAGTCTTCAATGTAACTTTACACTCGCTTCAAAATTCAATTTTCGAGCTGGATTAATACGTTGTTTAGGTGTTAGGGTACCTAAGCTCGCGATGAAAACTAGGCTAGTGTCACGATGCCTCCACTCTGTGACGCGACTTTGAAAGTTGCCAAGAGTCGTAGCTTTGTCACATCTAATCGCGCAGCTTAACAAACTTCTGTTCAAGTTTAAATATTATGTGTGTACTTATAAACAGGAAAACCTTGGATACAGAGCGCGTTAATTTATGAAATACCTCACTTTACTTTGGATTGAAACTACTCCTTAGAACGCCCCGCTTTAACTTACTTTTAAAGCAGTCCCGGAACGAAAACTGAAAGCTCTATAAAACTCTATATCTCTAAATAAACATTAAAGCAGTTTGTGGTTTCATAGATTTTACCCTCACACTTTCTGATAGGTATTACCTACGTGTGTATTATGTAACCGCTAATGACTTCGAAATAGTATGATTGATTTCGATGTGCTATTAATATTAGAGAAGAAAGATTAACGATCATTTAACCTTGCATGATTATAACCCAATGTTAATTAAGATATTCTATACTAAAACTCAAATGATATTATTTTATAGATAAAACTTACATAAGTATGTTGGAAAATTTTTGCATAAAATACCTACTTAGACACCATTATTCAACGAACTATGAAAGCCAGGTTACATACCTAATTGGTCAAGGCCACAACCGGCGGCCTGGAGATAACCTCTGGGACTCAAACTCACGTCCCACGGGTGCAAGATAAGCATTCGGATGGAGTGTCAAGGTTCTTCTTCGTATATTTCAGAATTAACGAACGAGTTCAGGCATCCTAACCACGACTTAGCAGCGAATGTTTCAGCCTTAATGGGAGTTGTTTGATTTCCTCGGGGAGCGGTAGGCACCCTTACTTGGGGCACGCTAATTTCACTGGACCATTACGTGGTTGCGTTGAGGAGGAAACGCAAAAAATACGTCGATATAATGACACTTTGCTGTTAATTTTGTTGACAAACAAAATTACTTGTCTCTCTTTTAAAGAGTAAAACTTAGAAAGAGCCATGAATGTTACAAGATGTGGCCATCCACCAATTTGAAACCTTAAAGCAATACTGATAATATGGCGACGAAAATTCAAAATTAATTACCACTGCTTATGAGGTAATAATTACCATTGAGGGTATAAACACACCTAAATAGCCTTCGTTATTGTCCAATAATCACCGTCCTTAGTCTACTAATATCCTTCGATCATGCGATAGTCCTGTTTGACAGGCTCTACCGAGGGTTCAATAGCGTTATATTGCTAAGGCCAAATTGCATAATATCCTAGACCAGCCGGGTGAGGCAGCTAATCCGTCACCTACCTGAGATTGATCGCGCGCGTTATTTAGTCGGGTGATCGATAATAGTTCGCCACATGCCAAGAATTATATGTCTAACACCTTTACTTGTGTAACGATAAAAGTTTATTAGGTATTTCTGGAGACCTTAGAAGTCTTATAAAATAAATTTTAATTGTCTTGTTTTGAGTAAGTAGGTAGGTACCAAGAAAAACATAAAACACATTGCTTGGAAGTTGGAACCAAATCCAAGTACTTACTCGTACTACCGAAATCTCATTTGAATGAGAGAGTGCTTCAATAGTGAATATTTGGATTTAAATAATTCGTAATTCTCACGTAATAAATTGAAATATTCACTAAATGTACAAAGCCTGGCATAGCATTGAATTTAGTGTAATGTATCCGGATAAATGTAACACTATGTTTACTGTACATCTAAATGAGAATACATAATACATTTAATTGTGTCCCAATGAAAATATACACTTGCATACTAAATGGTGTAATTTATAGCCAAAATTTATAAAGAATGCAAAGAATAATTGAGCTCAAAATGTCCTGTTTTCCTTCTTCTTCCGCGCCTCATTGCCAGTGTCGGCTCTATTAGTCTTAAATAATTCGCTATTCCTGGAGATCACAACAACAAATACCGTGCCAGTCATTGTTGTTGTGATTTCGACCTTATTGTTTTTAAAATAAATGGCAGCGTGTATATGTACTGAAAATTTCAATTTGCGTTATGTAGCGTAACTTAATTTTTCGTACGATTTGTCACCGGTGAGCGAGGCGTGCAGGCTTAATTTCGTCAAACAACTGTTTGTGTAAACATTTTAGAAAACAATAAAAACCGTAATGCCAAAATAAACTAAATTAAAATGTTCTTCAGTTTAAAGTAACAAATAAAAACTCAGTTTCTTTTTTTCAGATTCCGGGCCCGTTTCATCTCCATCCACAATCTTCAGGATGCTATTAATCGTAACTTCATTTCTTCCGACTGTGTTTAGATAACTCATTAATGTAATTATGTAGCTACAATAAATTAATGTAAAGCATTTTCTACGTGGTGAAGTGGAATCGAAAACATCTGATTAATGTTAGCAATGAACATTCCTTATGCGGGTCATCTTAAGTCTCTGGCAAACACGGGGCGATACGTTAGTGGAGATATTTAACAGAGGCGATCGTGTGTTCAGAATTGTATTTATTATTACATGTATTTTTGAAACATTTGAACTCAAAATTACATTCGGCGTTGCACGAGTCAGCTACAAATTCCTAAAAAAATACTTTTTTCCTTCCATGAATTCCTTCCGGGAACTCCATCGAGAAACGACATCAAAAGAACGGATTGATTTTATTATCATTTTGATAAACGGAGTTCCACGAAGTCTTTTGATTAAAAACCGGTAATGGATCACAATTTATGAGTAATTGAGTTCCGTTATTTGTTTTTTTTTTCTGCATTAAATGTAAAACAGTTTAAAAATAAATGTTTTAAGATAAAACCTGCTTTCTATTGAAAGGTAAATATAAATGTATAACATTAGGTTTAATATAGGTAGGTTCTCAATTATTTTACGGTTTGAATGTACAATTTCATCGTGTCAGATGTAAAATTTGAGTGCTTTTCTAAGATATAGTGGTTTTAAAAAAACGATACGCTTCGCTCACTCTACGCACTCTACTACGAGTAGGTACGCCCGCTGTCTCCCAGATACTTTATTGATAACTAGCTTTCCGCCCGCGGCTTCGCCCGCGTGGAATTTTGTCTGTCACAGAAAAACTTTATCGCGCGCGTCCCTGTTTCAAAAACCGGGATAAAAACTATTCTATGTTCTTTCCCGGGACTCAAACTATCTCTATGCCAAATTTCATCAAAATCGGTTGCGAGGTTTAAGCGGGAAAGCGTAACAGACAGACAGACAGACAGACAGACAGACAGACAGACAGACTTACTTTCGCATTTATAATATTAGTTGGGATGGGATAATCCAAGTGCTTTTTAATTGCAATTTCTAATCTCACGAACACTATCTACTTCGGTGATTTCGATTCCACCCGGTGTATCTATTTATCAAAAAAATATATCAACCCGCAAAGTGGGCACTTCTTTCTGAACACTGAATACTAAAACGATTTTATATTATTGTCATGTTGTAGATTAAGTTGTCTAGTTTGTAACTGGACGTTAAAATAAAAAAAAAAAATCTTATAAGTGATGAATCTGAGAGTGTTTATGTAAATAAAATCATTAAATTTTAAATAGTTGTTTACTATAAGTAGCTCGACCAAATAATGTTGACCCTTCGTTGATCTCTTGAGTAATAATATTAAGAGGTCTTCAAAATGTGTGGTACCTAGATAAAGATATTCCACTTAAAAAGAACCAAGTTTAAATGATTAGCCAAAATTGTAAGTTACAAGCTTAAGATATTGCAAACCACCTCTGGTGGTGCACCGACACGCGACGTTGTAGTTGCGGGTTCGAAACCCGCCGAGGGCAAATGTTAGATGGATCACGAGCATAAAATTCTTGAATTATGTGTTATTATTTCATGGAATGGACACTAATATTTTTGACGGTCTTCTTCAAAACTTACTCGTATTATGACTACATAAATCGTCTGATCCATTAGTAGTTTACAATACCTATTTTAAAACCACGTTTAGATCTGTAGTAAAACTTCCAGATCCAAGACAGACTTTAAACCAACCATTACTTAGTTGTAAAGGAACTACCATTTCGAACTCTCTTAAACTATTCGTTTGTTTCCTTTAAGTCTAAGTATTTATTATATTTATAGGTATATATAAACAAAAACGTTTTCCATTTTGACTGTTTTAGGACCTCTCCAGTTTCAACTGCACAGTGTAGGCCTCCCACAACCCCAAATACCTAGGTAGTTCAATGCCCAAACTTTCCCCTCCTTCCTCAACATAGGTATTATAATAATAATATTAGCTATGAAATTCAGTGGTGTAATGGATTATAAATTGAATATAACGAAGTACATATTCATAAGCGAATATTGCCTTGTATATTATTATAATAACAAACAAAATGTATCAGCAATGTACATTTCGTATTATCTATGTGTTTAATGTTATATTCTCCTGTATTTGTTAAAAGCTATTATACTAATTTATTAATACTACTTACCGAAATCTCAAGTCTTTTTTTCTACTCAAACTTTATAAATGATGGATTGTGAAGGAAAATAAATGTTCTTTATTGTTTTTATCATCTTTAGATTAATTAGATATCTGCGCTTTGCATCCCTACCTCCGTATCTCCTTAGAACAGGTCTCATCAAATCAAATCAAATGATTTATTTCGCTTAAAAGTGGTACATGTCATGTAAATTAGAATAGGATCACACATCTCAGTTATCAACTTAAGAAACAAGAGAGAGCATGAGTTAATTACATTACAACAATTTTTGCCATACAAATTATTTCTCTATTTATTTAAGTATCAAATTCAGTGTCGGAAGAAATTACTTTTGTAGGTATCCCAACTATCACTTATCCCTTTTCAAATATTATCTGAATGTCTGAGATGAATTAACGGGAAAGCACTAAAGCCCCGCGTTAGGTTTCTGTGCGGGCTCTTCTTGGTTTTCATTTAAGAAATGAGAAATTACAGGATCCAACCATCAAAAGTCACTAGTATGAAATTAAAGGTGGTGATCTAATTTCATAAATAAAACAGCGGTGATAATTTAACTTCCATGTCTATTTCATTAGTAATTTTTAAACTAAGTATGTCACAATAATTTAATTAACATGTCATAATAGGGGCATGAAATAGCGTGTGCGACGTTACTCCGACGTTTAAACGTCCCTGAAATATCATCTGTCATCAGTGACCTGACACTGGGTAACACTAGGTTGCAGTCCATTGGCCACAGATTACAAAAAAACTTGAATATTCAGATTTTTAACGTTAACACTAGCCATTTAAGTGGGTAATCTAAAATTATTTCCGTCGACATTACAGAGTGTAAAAGTGCCGTAAATTACAGGTGTGATATACACGTTCCAGGAATAGCGACGCGGACACTTTTATGAACGCATTGCCATTTTGTGAAATATAACATACAGTTGCATTTTCGCTACTTTTCACTTCAACTACGGAAATTTTCCAGCGTTACGACCACTTACCGACCAGTAATGGAGAATGCTCCAGGAATAAATTAACTTTTAATAACTTTTTAGGAAGATGGCGTCAATTTTTATTTTATAACAAAATACCTAATTTTTATTATTTTAAATAAGATATTTGGGAAAAACAAAAATGCTGATTCCATTTTTAAAATATTTGCCATGGTGCCAATTATCTTCTTTGTTTCCGGAAAATTATTACAGTTATTATCTGTGGGTTGCACTCAGTGTGCTTATTATTATTAACTACACAAACATGTTATTCGCGAAGGGTAGGATTTTTAAAAGGTCTAAGCATCTTATTGCCTACCTCGAAAAAAACTACTGTAACATTCTAACTGAAGTCTATGTGAGCCGCAGGCGTGTAGTGCATAATAGAGAACCACTTCCATCAGTCAAAACAAAGGTATGTGTTTGCAAATTCATAAATTATACAAGTGCAATCAGCCAAAGCAAATAATTTCAGAGTAATAGGTACCTACTATACGTTTTCATAACGTATAACAAATAATCGTTTTCAACTGCATGGTCATAATATTAATTTACCAGTTTTATATCTCAGTTACTAACTAATTTAAGTATCTATTTATTTTAAGGCTGAGTATTTAAAGTATTCGAAGTTATCCAGCTACTTAGGCACCTAAAATAAAAGTTTTAAGTAGATTAAAGTAAATTTCTGTTACATCGCAAATTACACTAGCAGAAAGACGCTAATGCAATAATCCAGTATAACTACACTTATAATATAGAATTACGTTTACGAATGAGAACATCTTTGAAAACTGTTCAAAGTTATTCGTACAACGACATTCAGTTGGCAAATACCAGTAGACGACTTATGATCGATATTCTATACTAGTATCTTGCCACCGCTAAGTTATAAGATATGGATACTGTTTATTCAAGATATTTACCATCCAAAAAGGTATCTGTACAACCGACGGCACATCGAATGTAACTGTTAGACCGCGAAAATCGCTCATAATTCGAGGGAAATAAAGGCTAGTGTCATTATGTGTTCTGTGTACAGAGCTATTGTACATAACAACGGAATGAAAATGCTATATTGGGTAGGATAGGAGGACTCAACTCTCGACAGAGGAGTGATAGTCTCAAATGAGCACACGACGATCATTCAAAGTTGGTCCGATTTGTAATAAGATAACGAGAGGTTAACGATGACACAGGCGTAACAAAGGTGAAGAGAAGATGACATTAGCGATAATCGAGTATATTAACAAATCAATCTAGTTAACTACTTATATTCTCAACCCTCTTCCTTCATAAATACAGCTTTTCATATAAGTCATCTTAGGATAACGTGTAGACTACTGTAGACAGTTTATTAAGTATTATTACCGAATCTGAAATTAGTTAAATTTGAGAATATGATCAATTACTTTATTCTCACGTATACATTTATGTAAATTTATCTATAGTTACATTTGTATTACTTATACCAAGTCTTAAAGTAAAACGAAGTGAAAAGTTCACTGCACGTTCCACCGGTAGTAACAGGCGCTTTATGTCTTCTAAAACGTAGAGCTTGTTAATGCTTAGATGTTTTCCACAAAATGGCGAAGTTGTGAAATGTTTGTCGATATTTAATATCTGTTAGGGTCAGTCTGTTCGTGACTCCGAAGTGCCCACAAGAGCGGTTGGAATATTTTTTCTTTCGAGAGCCGAGACCCTATTTCTACGACTGACGAATTCTTCACGTATTTTCACTGTTAATTCTTTATTGTTGTGCCAACCCGAATTTATGTATTTCATTAAATGAATTACTGAAATATGTGTTCGTTTTAATTTGTAGTTCATTGTTCCTTATGAAAGATTGAAAATTCCGAGGAAATCTGAAACAAGTGGTTATAATATTTCCTTAATTGTTGTGAAGATAAAGTTTAACTTTGATGTTCAACTTTAGTACATTAATCAAAATTATTCAAATACTTCAAAACTTTACATAAATACTTACATTTGTTGATATTTATTGTCTGCTGCGGTTACGCACCTGCGCCACGAACAGATTACAGCTTATTAACAGTGAATAATGAAAATTGCCGGGATGAAAATTGTTTCACTATTTTATTTACTTTAACGATAAACCGCTTAAAATATAGGTAAGCTCCATTTATTTACTGTTTTGAGACTGTCCACTTAGTGTGATTTATAATAAAGAAAACCTTTGTTCAACCTAGTTGCAACATAATATCCTTACAGAACAACATATATATTATTATATCAATACACTCAACCAAAACCGTGAAACAACTGTATCTCTTATTCTACGAAAAGATTTTTCATTTCGCCGTAATATTTTATCATATTAATTATTATTA